CGCCCGCCGCCGCTGCAGCAGCGGCAGCAGCAGCAGGAGCTGCAGCAGCAGCTGCAGCAGCAGCAAGAACAATGGCACCCCAAAAAGGAGACATGCAGTTTTGATTCGTCTTTCTACGGCTGCGCCGCCTGCAGCAGCAGCAGCAGTAGCAGCAGCAGCAGCAGGTTTCAGAGCTGCTGCGAGCACAGCCACAGCAACACGCCGCTTTCACGTTCTAGCACACTGAGAACAGCAGCAAACGCTGCAGCTGCAGCAAGAGCACCAGCAGCAGCAGCAGCAGCAGCAGCAGCAACAGACTGCATGGCAGCCACCCCTTCGTTGGCGGGTGCCCCTGAGAAGGTGGCGCTGCCTGCAGCAGCAACAACAGAAGCAGCAGCAGCAGCAGCAGCAGGGAGAGCAACTCCAGCAGCAGCAGCGCACCACTGCGGGTCACTTACACCGGACTGCAGCAGCGGCAGGAGCAGCAGCAGCAGCAGCGACTGCCACCTTCTCCGCCGCAGCAGCAAATCTGCCGGCGGCTCTGTGGGAGTTTTGCGGCACAGCAATTCCGCCTTTGTCAGGCCCCAGAGTGAAGCCACCCCAACTGTAAACCCTAAACCCTAAACCCTAAACCCTAAACCCTAGGTTTCATAGCAGCAGCAAAACGAAGTGGGTCTGGGGTTGCTGCTGCTTGCTGCTGCAGGTACAGCTGGTGGCACACAGTGCCGCAGTGCTCTTTACAGATGTGCTGGATAGCCGCAGGCAGCAGCAGCAGCAGCAGCAGCAGCAGCAAGGGGGGCCTGCAGCAGCAGCTAACGAAGTTAGGCACCGCGGCAGCATATGATGCGAGCGACGCCGAGGGTGCGCTACCTGCAGAGTAACTGCAGCAGCAGCAGCAGCAGCAGCAGCTGCATCAGCAGCTGCAGCAGCAGCTGCAGCAGCAGAAGCTGCACTAGCAGCAGCTGCTGCATCAGCACTTGCATTAGCAGCAGCTGCAGTAACGGCAGCTGCAGTAAGAGCAGCAGCTGCTGCAGCAACAGCTGCAGCAGCAG